GGTCTTTGTCTGCAATGATTTGACATGTTTTTTATTTTTGTCAGTGATTATCTCAATTTCGGCTAAAAGACTTGACAAAATCCTACACACTGTGCCTGTAAACATAGACATGTTTGGTGTCTACAGAAACGTCAGAATCTTGGCTAGAAGCTGGTAAAAACCATTTCAATGCAGTCAAGACAGTTACATTTACAAGCAGTTGAAGATAAAACTACGAAAGTGAAAATAAAATTGTTTTAAAAATTTGGCAGGTCAGAAATGTCAAAATAATATTTGTGTCATATAGGAGGCAGAATGTGTTCTTTTGTTTTTGATATTGTTTAATTATCACTACTTTTATAGGGTTCTGTATGTTGTATTCATGATTAAATACAGAAAAATCATCTGTTTCAAAGGTAACAGATCTTTGTAATATTTGGTTTACTAACATAATGACTTTGATTTTAATTGCTGGATGTTCGGCCCCTGAGCTGTTGACCTACAGTAACCGTGGCCCCCGGAGCAGTTTAGTTGAATAACCCTGACATAGTGTAGTGAACACATCATAGCTTGAGTTACTCAGACCTAAAACTTTCCACATTTGTGCATTTTATCTTTCTAAGCCATGTTAATGCCCCCTTGATGGATTTTTAAAATGATCCCAAGTGTTTGGGAAACAATTTATAGTGGTTAATCTGTGTCAGTTTATTTGCTGTTTTTGCACCTGGTTTAATGCAGATGTCGACAGAAGTGCAAACCGAGCAGGAAGCAGAATTGTGGTTAACGTGATAAAACATTTCCTGGGTTTCTCTTTCCTGGAAAYGACAGGCTCACCTTTTGACGAGCTAAAAGCGAAAAATAAATAAAATAACGTGGCGACGCCTCTCTCACCTTGACCCCTTCTGCCTGTGCGTGCAGACCTGGAGCGTTAAGGCCGTGAGTGTTGACTCCTGGTGTGGGCGCCGGGTGAGGGCTGGGTGCGGGCGTGGTCAGGACGTGTGTGTTTCCAGAGCTCTGCAGGCTGCTTGAGGACCGGAYGCTGCCGAGGCTGCCCACACTGCCGCTGCGCTCCCCACCTGTGCATGTTAACACACACACACACGTTACCACACGGAGCAAATGCAGAAAGAAAAAAAAACTGTTAACCCAAAATCACACACCTGCCATTGGTTTACGCAACACCCAAATGTCCTCGCTGGTGCTGCTCTGATGTGCTAAAGTGGGAGAGCCTTGAGGACTCAGCTCTGCAGTCCGAGAACCTGTCACACACACATGCACAGACACACACCTGTCTTAATGCTACAACTTATAATAGCTGTTAAACTAATGCACTCATTATTGTTGCCAGACAGTGTGTTTATGACGCAGTGCATTTTGTTCAGTAACTAAATGAGTTTAACTGTTATTAAAYGCTCACTTACCTTCACATCCAAAAACACAATAACTCAATGTGTGTGCTGCTCAGTTTATATCTGCTGTGTTAAATATTCAGTGTAGACGTCTCACTACTGACAGACTGTGTTTTAATAAAATAAAAAAAAAGGTCAGTCCTCTTCCACCTGTTCTACGAAGCAGGATTTGTGTTTTAGCAGGGTCACTTCAGCTTCGGGGGATTTTTAGTACCATATAACTGGTTTAATCCTAGGTTCACAACTACCAGAGGTGTAGTGTAACAAAGTAAATGTACTTCTATCTACTTTAAACTGCTGGTGAAGTATCCTGAAGGCTTGCTGTTAGCTCGGTAGTCGGTGCAGCAGTCTTGTGACCCTGAAGCTGCAGGTTTGAGCTCAGGAAATGCATCTGGTGTAAACAACAGTCAAACCCTTTCTGCAAGTTTGCTTGCTGTGGGAACCTCTGCAGAAAGGAGCAGCCAAAATAAAAACAACAACAACCCTGTTAAAGCAAGCTTAATCCTCCTCGTTCAAGGTTGTGAAAGGTCCTCTGATTCCAGCCCCGCCCACCTCACACAAACATGAGTTCAGAGAAAATCTTGGTGACTTCAGGAAACGATAACCGCCTTTATGGCACCGCAAAGTGCAATCTCCATTATTAGTTAGGTCTGATCAGCTGAAGGTACTCTGGATGTGTGAACCTGCTTCGTAGAACAGAACAGGAGAGATCTTCTGTTCTTTCATTCTTTCAGTCATGGAGAAACTTTTATTTATGATGCCTGAAAACATGTTTAAAATCACACGTGTCTATAATGAAAGCTACCCTGTAAGTCAAAACCTGATTGTGTTGTGATATTTTTCACAACTGTATTTTGTTTCATTTCAACATGTACAAGTATTAGTTTTTTCTTTTAAAATTAAGTAACCTAAAATGTATTTAGTATTTTATAAATAATTTTAAGTGTAAACACTGTTCTTCAGTAATACTGCAGCTACTGAATGAGCTATTTTAGTCTTTGAACAATAAAATATTATACATAGTTGTGCTAAAATAAATAATCCCTGTTGTGTGATATTTAGAATAGGTTCACTGGTCAGAAACCTCTACCTGAAGAGGCAGGTGCATCTAAACATCCGTTATTGTCTAAAAGACAGTAAACAATATATTTTTAAAAATCTTTAATACATCAACACCAAGTCAGGTAAAAAAAATAGGACTCTTGATTGACTATTTCAGCTAAAGCGTCAGCTCACTCAGATAAAGTAAACTGTTTCAGCACCAAATGAGTGGCACTGAATTTATTTTATGGCTGTTACCACATTGAAATACTAAAAATACAAAAAACACCAGTTTTTAGAGGATGAAAGTCCTCTACAGCAGTGGTTTTCAAACGTTTTAGCTTCTGGCCCACAAATCAACAGCTGCAGAAGCTTGTGACCTCAAATATTACTGGTTTACAAATGCAAACGTTGCTAATACCTCTGTTAAACATGAGCATAATAATTTAAAACAAACCTAATAACTATGGTATTGATAATCRTATTATTTTTCAATTATTCTGGTGAAAATAGACCACAACAATTTATTTGCATTTAAATTGATGTCTGGAAATCGTTTGGTGACCCTCATTTGATGATTTATGACCTACAGAGGTGTCCTGACTCCAACTTTGGGAACCACTGCTCTAGAGGATTTTCTTCATTTGATGGAACATATCTTAAAAATGACTTCACTTAAATAAAACTAAGAGAGCAACAAGACAATCAGCGGTGCAGAAACCTTTTACTTGTCATCTGGGTGAACGGACACTTCACTGAAGCCAGGCGACAAGCTGAGGTGATGTGCTGCTTTGTCAAAAACCGTAAAGAATAAAGTACAAAAGAAAGGATGCTTATCTGTTCTTTACAGTATGTACCTGTCTGACTCTGCTGCTCCTGAGAAGTGGAGAGAGGAGGAGAAGCGGACAGAGGAGGAGTCGACAGAGAAGGAGGAGAGATGGGAAGAGGAACATACCCAAATGAGGAGAAGCGAGGGAGGGATTGTGTGTTGGCATGGAGGGGAGGAGGGGGAGGCAGGTGCAGATGAAGGGGGAGGACTTTGGTGGGGGGGTATGAGTGTCCGTTGATCGAGGCAATGGGGCAGGGGCTGGGCCTGCGGAGGAGGAGGGTGTGGCACTGCTGAGAGGGGGAGTGACCTGGACACAGGCCAGGAGGAGGAGGGGGACGGGGGCGGTGCAAAACAACAACAACACAACAACAATAACAACAACTGATCAGTCAACTGGAAACAAAAGTCTACTCAGAAAAAATGCACAAAATAAGAACTAATTCAAATAAAAAAATTAACAGAATACATTTATATATATCCACAAGGAATATATCTTTAAATTAAAATATATTATTACTCAGGCAATAAAGCAAAACAAATGAAATGAACAAAAATCATCACAATCTAATAATAAAGCAGGTTGGAAGGAGGGGAGGGGGTGGGGGTCGTATTAATTAAGGAGCATCACATTAAGAAGGCAAAATTTAGAAGAGGGGGAGGGGTAATAGCCAACAGAGGAGGACAATGATTGGTCAATGAAGATGATTGACAAGTTGATCGATGCTATTAGCTGAAGCTAACTACAACTACTGATCAGCTACAGAACAGCTGCTAAACTAACACATGCAAAAAGCTCTCACACACACACACACACACACACACACACACACACACACACACACACACACACACACACACA